GACTTCCAGATAAAAATAAAGTGATGATAAGAATTTTGTTAAGATAATATTATCTAATGTGCTGAAACAAGATATATCACAATATGACATGTTTAGTATTTTTTAATATCGACAGGGGAACGAAATACAAGTACCAAAATTAAGGGGTTAGGTTGCTACAAATATATATTAAAAAGATTGGTTGTTCACTACGAGATTTGAACAATAATTTCATATCATATTTCATAATTAAATTCTCATGTTATATAATTTTTATCTGAGAAGTTTATATTTTAATGTAATTTGTACATGATTCAAACAACTTACATCGCAATTTAAAATGATTTGTCCGCGCATCGCGCGGGTACTGATACTAGTTACCTTTAAAACTCAAAATTTAATTGAAGAAGAATGTTACCCTTGCATCATCTTCAAGCAAGTTAAAGCCAGTATCTTTCTTATGAAGATGCTTTAACCCCCACATCTGATATAGGTTTAGAATTGATACACATACACAAAATTATAAAAGCAAGAAGTCATTAAATTAATTGTTGATCAATTTTTACTCTTTAAAATAGATTTTACATTAGACGTTGTCATTAAAACTTCTTTTCCCTAATATTAAGCCTTTGAAATTAATTAATTTTTTACTGAATTCTTCCTTATTAGAAATATTAAGTCCTATGATATATACTTTGAATTGATTAAATTTTATATTATATACTGATAGTAGAATTACATATTAACCTCACTAATTGCCAAAAATATTATTAATCTCACTTGTAATAATAAAACAATTGACTGCGGAAATTTAATAGACTTACAATTTCAGATTCTATTTCAATGCTTTCTCTTGGAATAAATAAATTAGTCTTTACATAATAATACATAGGCAAATAATTAATTTACAGCTACAATTTTGATCACATAAGCATGTTATGTAAGTTGATTGAGAGATAACAAGGTTTCTGACAGTTAATGAAGGTAGTAGCTTTTGATTTTTGGTTTTGGTTTCAGGTTCTACAAATTACAATAACGAAATAATTATGACAAGGAAAACCAACAAAATCTTTCAATTTCATATTTATTTTACTATGCTCAACATGACCATATTAGATTTTTTTATTACAATTATCTTATATAAATTATTTTCTTATTTGAATTATATAACATAATTGTAATCTCTTCGATGTTATGTTTGACCGATATAGATGAACTATATTCCATTTCTCTTTATTTTTTGCGTTCATTCTAACAAATGATAACCCCCTCTATTTTTTAATATTTAGTTATTTATTGTAAAATATTAATTCGATATTAGTTACTTTTAGACTTTACATTATTATTTATTATTTTTTAAGAACCATGTGACCGACCTCTTCATTTTTAAATCTAAAAAAGACCAATAGATTTTATTTTTATCTCTTATTTAATAAATCTTTAAGGAATTACGATAAAAGTATTTTTGTATATATTACTTTTTATTTTCAGTATTAGGTCAAACAAATAACAACAATATTATATTCATAAGAGAATCCCACATCTATCCTCAAGAATCACAATAAGACATCTGGTGACTTCTATGGGGCATGATTTCTTTCTTTCTTTTGCTAGCTAAATGGATGGACATTCATTATTTTCAGTTATTTTTTAATTTTTATTTTACAACTCATACACTCTATGTAATAATACTTACATAATTTTTTAAAAAATCATACTCATTTAATATATGGTTACGCGACCTAAAACTAGTATGAAATGAAACGGAAAGAGTACCTTATAACTTGTGTACAACCTGTCCACAAACCAAACCAAGATTGAGAAGGATTTATACAGAACTGAAAAAAAGGAATAAACAGTCCAAATCTCTTTCGTACTTCTCATAGCAGCTTAAACTTGTACACCACGAAGCCCAAAACTCATGGGCCGGAAGAGAGACAGAACCCACTTCAACCGCCACGTCCCTTACTCCTTCCCCAAGCGCCGCCGTCCTCCACCTACCGACGCCGTCTCCGACGACCCTTTGCCGTCAAACAACTCCTCTTCCACCACCAAGCAGCAGCCCGGTAATGTGGTGGTTGTTGGGGTTCCTACTGATTGCTCAGTGCTTGACCTTAAATCTCGTTTTGAGATTTATGGTTCCATCTCTCGCACCCGTATGGACCCCAATGGTCTCGCTTACATCACTTTCCGTTCCTATGATTCTGCTCAGTCTGCTGTTAATGCTGCTGTAGATTCCTCTTTCCCCATTACTCTCCACTCCAAGCCAGTATGCACTCTTTTTCTCTTAAAGTTATATCTTCTAATTGTAGAAATTCTTGCCAATATTGCAACTTTATTGTTGATTTTTGATCTTTCGATATTAAGATGTCTAGTTGAATCCATGGTTCTGTAATTTATACTAACTCTCAGCTTGGCCAAGAATTTTGGTCTGTGGGTATCACTTTATTTGGTATAATTGTGTTGATTGAATTATATATATGGACAATGTAAGTAGTTTTTGCACACCTAAAAGTAGAAATTCTTGCCAAGTTTGCAACTTTTTAGGTTTAAATTCTTGTTTTTTTTGAGACTAAGAATTTTGGTATGTGAGTATCACATTAGTTGGTATAATTGTATGGATTTTAATATTACACACGGACAATGTAAGTAGTTTTTGCGCAATCATTATAGTTTAACAGGTTGTAGCATGTTACTTACCATCTCGGATAAGTAACTCGTGACCTGACAGCTCTGAAAGTCTTACTGTAACTGGTTTGTCTGGAAATATACGTACCCATATTTTTCCACCACGACGTGCATTTCGTGTCATTGCTCGTCGGCCTGCTTCTATTTGTCTAGATGTAATCCAAGCAGGTTCAAGTGCCTGAAGAGCATATTTACCGAAAGAAATATGATTACCTCGATGAGATATTCCCTTCATTCTTCCTCTATGTTGTTTACGGAATCTGGTTCTTTTGGGGTTATAGTTGATGGTTGTTTCTGAATTCCATCTCTACTACAGAACCGGACGTGAGAGTTTCTTCTCATCCAGCTCCTCGCGAATAAAAGGATTCCAAAAAATTTAATTAGAATTAAGCTAGAATAGTCAATCTTAAGTTAAGATATATATGTATTTACTGAGTAATACCTTGAACGTGGGATTCTTTGAGATTTCATTCAATCTATTAGTAATTTGTATATCTTGTTTGAATAGATAACTAAACTTTTTAGTTTTATAAATAGAAATCTAAAAAAAAATTGTATTATTATACCAAATCCGTTCTTTACCGTGAATGTTAGTAGAATTGAGAGCTTATATATATATATATATATATATATATATTTTACTTTGCTTTTGCTGGGGATGACAGGTTCAGGTAATATGGGCAACTGACCATGTGCCACAGTGGAAGGAGGGGGCGATGCGAAAGGATGATCTATCCTCATCAACGGTTGCATCGAAGCTAGTTAGAGCAGAGGTGCCACTAAGTAGGCACGGGAGAGGTAACAGACTGGGATCAGCAATTGTGAACCCCAAAGATGAGGATAATGATATTGCTGGCAATAATGGTCGTGGACATGTTAGTACAAGGCTGGTTGAGCCTGATAATGCTGGCGATAATGGTCGTGGACATGTTAGTACAAGGCTGGTTGAGCCATACAAGGGTAGGGAAATTGTTGCCTATGATGATATTCTGTAACTTATGGTCATGTTTATTGAGGGATTGCCTCACTTGTAACATTAGCGATATGGCTTTCTCAAATAACATTAGAGCTTTTATTTATGAGGTTAGGTAAAAGGTTGAGTTTTTGTTGCAGATTAGTTGGGGTGATTTTCAGTTCTAAATGTGTTTTCAGTAAGGTTCAGATCTTGTTTTTTTTCCTTCTCTGTGTAATACAAGCATTAGATAATAATGATGTACTTAAGATTTTTTTTATTTGAGTATGTAATTCATATATGCTTCTGTCTTAGCAAATAAGATACTGTTCCTTGATTTGGATTTTGTCCAAAAGATAGATGTTGTTACTGTTCTTGGGGTTCCTCAATACTTGTACTTGCAGCATACAACTTGGAAGAAGTTGGCAGCGGTGATGAGCTTCACATTACATTTTTTGCAGCTGCAACCGGGATGTAGAAGAATCCGCTTTTCCTGTCGTGGCTTTTAGCTTGTGTCATATATAAAAAGGCAGTTGCAGTTTCCAACAAGCAGCCACTTTCTACATAATCTTGTAGGGCTAATTCACCCTGTGTTTATTGTCTTAATTGGTACGTAATGATGGTACTCTTGATGGCACCTTGAGACCTTCCCTTTTGCTACTTTCAAGGTGACTATGACAAAATGTTGTTATTCCCTACCTTATGGGTGATGAGTTATGAGAGTTCTGTATGATGTCTGTTAATGTTGAATCGGATACTCATTTGTTATTGTGTGCTTACGAGAGTCGAAGGATTTGTTCTTTAAGTTGTACATTAAAAATGATAAGAGGACCATCTTGAATCCTAGCAACTGGAGCTTCTTCATAGTTTCATACTCATTTGCTGAACAGTATCATATGATGTAAATGAAGATGATGCTTGATTACAGGTTTTTTTTGGGTTCTATATAGGCCTCCCCCTCCCAACTTCTTGCTTTGTCGCAAGCTAGGTGAATTTTTTTCTTTTCCATAGGAAGAAGCGTCATTTTGTTTCAGAGGAATATCTAATCTAACTGGCTCTGTTATGCTGCAGATTGCTATTGATCTTTTGCAGAATTTTGTGTATTATGAGTTGCATTACCATCAATCAGAAGAATTTCCAGGTAAATCACTGTACATCCTTTGCTCAACAGGGGTATGATCGTATAAGGCATTCTCTGGGAATGAACCAGAGAATCAGGGATAAGGAATGGTGTCGCGGTTAAAAAAATTATAACTTTGGGTAAATATCAAGTCAACTGTAAGACATGAGTATGTGAGAGAAAAATGGATGCTGATGTTATTTGCCCCTGTTGTGTTAAGACTGAGGGGATAATGGAGTACTTATTCTATAAATTTGTGACATATAATAACAATATACCCAGTAAAATCCCACTAGTGGGGTCTGGAAAGAGTAGAGTGTACGCAGACCTTACCCTTACCCAAAAAAGGGCAGAGAGGCTGTTTCCAGGAGACTCTCGGCTCAATAGGGGAGACAATAATATCAGAAAAGAAACAAGAGAAAAGACATGTAACAACAAAATATACCAGAAAGAAAATAATCAAACAAATAAGTGAAAGGACAATAACACAAAATTATGCAAAATAACAATATGAATACAACAAAGACCGCTAACAAACCTAAACGAAACTCTATCAGACTACCCGGTATAACTAGGGAAGAACTCTCGACTACCCCCTAGCTTACCACACTAATGCTTGGAGTCATGTCCTCGGAAATCTGAAGTCGCGTCATGTCCTGCCTGATCACCTCGTCCCAATACTTCTTAGGCCGCCCTCTGCCTCTTCTCGTACCTACCAAAGAAATTTGCGACATATAATAACCTCTAGAAATTGACTGGTTGGAGATGGATAAGTGTGTTGATGCTTTTATTGGCTCAATCTTTTTCTAGCAAGAATGAGAGTGAACTGGTGGCTCTTAGTCTGATCATAATGTCATTAGATAGAATACCACGGGCGACCAGTGTTTCAAATTCTAGCAGATGCAAAAGAACTAGATGATTTTTTTCCATTTGCATAGGTTTTGGTGGATAGAGTTACTTGATACCCGTGCTAGTGGGAGGTAGTCGATACTTGGTGGAACTATTAAATTGCGCGCAAGCTGGCGGCACATACACCATTGTTACCAAAATAAAATAGAAATTGATGTTACTTCGTAGAAAGAAGAAGAATGTCATTATGTGGTTCCTATGCAAAAGTAGGGAGGACTGGACATCTTATGGGATTCATGCAGAAGAGGTACTTCCTCTTGACAAAGCTGTGTTTACTGCTATGTATACTTAGAGGCTCACACAGTGTGCTCTGCCCGTGCATTCTTCTTCAGCTGATTGTATAAGCATAAATGAAAGCCGATGCTTCTTTTTGCACTGAGAAATTGTCAGCTGCAAGTGGTATCGTTGCTAAAACTCAACATAAGAACTTTACTTCAACCATGGAGTACTACTCGGGGATTATCGTACTGCAGAAGCCTGCAACCGCAAGGTGGAATCTGATGAGCCAAATGTTAGTTACATAGGTGCAGGAGAGCTATTTTTTGCTGATTCCGGATTGTTGACCGCCTTCCAGATAAGGGTAAGGTCTGCGCACACACTACTCTCCCAGACCCTACTTGTGAGATTATATTGGGTTTTTTTTGTTGTCGTTGTTGTTGGAGTATTGACCGCAATCAAAGGATGGGCAGTCCAGTTCCTGGGCTAGTGTAGTCCTTATTATAAGCCTACTCAGACAACAATTAAACTAGTTGATTTTTTTGGTTGATCGGCTTTAAACAACCTTCACATTTCCTGATGAGATCCCAACTCTCCAAGTGAATGTCCAATAAGTTCTTAGCTTTAGGCCAATCTTTGTTGTTAATGAATGTGGTAGTCTTGTTTAGAAGTCAAGAGGAGCCTGGATATTCCATTTTTGCACTGATCAAGAATTCCAGATAATGGTATATCAACAACAACAACAACAACAACTACCTAGTATAATCCCACTAGTGGGAACTGGGGAGTGTAGTGTGTACATAGATCTTACCCCTACCCTGGGGTAGAGATGCTATTTCCAAATAGAAACTCGGCATCCTTCCCTCCAAGAACTCTCCACCTTGCTCTTGGGGTGACTCGAACTCACGGAGTGGAGGTTGCTTACCATCAGAGCAACCCCAATTGTCTTCAATGCTCGAGATTTTATTTGAATCTCTTATTTATTTTTGGGAGTAAAGTGCTTTTTACAAAGGCAATTTAATTCTTAGGACTTAAACAGGAGATTTCTGGTCAAGAATGGAGGGGTACTTACAATTCAACCAGAATCGTTGGGTGGTCTACATGATATACTTAAACCTGTGTGAGCACGTGATTTTTACTTCACGGAAGCTACTCCAAAAAGAAATCGGAAAAGAAATAAAACAAGTTACCTTCGGGTACAATTTTGAGGATTTATGTGACATTTTGATAATTGTTCTGTCCGTAAATGCTCACCTCGCTATAGTTAGAAAATACAAAAAAATATATGTTGCATGCATTTAGGAATAATTGGTACATTTAGGAACGAGTTGATTATAATTTGGTTATTTAAAAGCGAAGTTGTCATCGTAATTTACTAAAATGTTTTAATTCGTGTGATATTTGTTGTGGGGTATTGATTAATATTTTGTGTGTTTAATTTTGGTTTCTAGGAATTTTGTCTAGTTGTAAAGAGGGGAAATACCGGATTTGGGCCAAAATTTAAAAAAATCAGGCCCAAACCAACTTGCAACGACCCAGTCCAAACCAGGTCTTCTTAGGGACGCCCCAAACGACACCGTATTGGCATCACCCTTTTGAGCCGTTGATTGATTCAGAGGAACGACCCAGATCAGGCCAATCACTTACCCAAACGACGCCGTATAGGGCC